TCTCTCTCTCTCTCTCTCTCTCTCTCTCTTCCTCAGTCATGAGTGTTCGCGTTTGAGAAGAGAGGTGTTCCTTTCGTCAAGCATTCGGAGTGTTTGAGTCATCATGCGTGCCGTATGCCGCTCGCGACTCTACTCTAACTCTCTTCCGGTTCCCAGCATGTGCTGCTCCCCACGAGTAGATTGGAGCTTTTGTCCCCAAAAAAAAGAAAAAAAAAGAAAAAAGGGATGCTGGACCCGTTTTCCCCAACAGGTGATTCTCTCCACCAATAGATGGAGTCTCTCCCCAGGACCCCAGGTGCTCGCGGTGTCTTGCTGTTACCAGCACCAGTACGGTCTTCCCCCAAACACAACGCACCGTCGTTTTGACTGTCTGGAGGGAAAGATAATCTGTATACATTCATTATCAGGGTGCGTTATGTTCCGGGGGGAAGACTGTAGCACTAGAGAGAGTGCTTGAATTAAAAAAAAAACTACGCGGGAGTCACAAAAATGGGTGATAATTGCACTATGGGCCAAGATACAGATTCAAATGGCAGTTCGGGCAATGTATAGAACCCAGCTTTCTGGCCAGGTAGGGTGCCAGAAGTGCAATTGAAAACTGTATCGCAGTTACAACTGGTGTCTGTGACTGTACTGAAGTTACCCTTTTTTTTTTCTTTTTAACACAAGGCCAGAGCGGGCCTGCTACCGTAGGGGAAATGATACTAGGAGCAGCCTCCCCTAGTAGGCCTATTGCTGGCCGCTGAGCCTCCATCTATTGGTGAGGAGCATCACCTGCTGGAGAGGAGCAGCCACCCTGAGTAGGCCTATTGCTGGTTTAATCAACTCAACATTACCCTCTTTTTTACCCCGTGTTTTAATCAACTCAGTGCAAGGCCTCTATCCCAGTAATGGTGAGTGAACCCCACCAGGATTGATCTCCCTTTTTTTCATAGAAAATTTCACAAAAAAAAACTCAGTAGGGAGTGCCGTTGTGGGTGGTGCAAGAAGCCCACAAAAGGGCCCTCCACCCTAGGGGGCTCCGCCTATTGGTGGGGAGCAACACCTGCTGGAAACCGGGTGTTGAGTCCCTTGTGTACAAACTGAGATTTAAGAACACCAGGATTGATCATGGTGGGGGATGACTCTTATGTCATTGGTGGGGGAGCTGCACCTACTGGAAACCGGGTCCAGCATCCTTTTCTTTTCTTTTTTTTTTTTTTTTTTTTTTTTTTTTAAGACAAACAGCCCGAACTTCTGCTAGGGGAGGTCCAGCATCCCATATACATATATAATATTGCAAATACAATTTTTTTTTTTATTTTTTTTTTATTTTTTTGAGAAACATCGCTCTGTTGTGACTCATGCTAATGGAGGTGATAGGAGCATCCCCCATTAGCAGACCCACTTTTGGATGACTCCATCTATTGGTGGGGAGCAGCACCTGCTGGAAAGCGGGTCCAGCGTCCCTTCATACATTTTATAGAACTTTGAACCAATGCCGTTCACACTTGAGAGCCTTCTGTTGCAGTGTTGTCGGGGTAACCACCCCGCATTAGTTCCAGCGATCCTACGAATCTCGTCTGCAGGTTCAGTCAGTCAGTAAGCTCATGTGATAGTTTTGGTTAACGTCTCATGTCTAAAACCCTCAAAACCTACCGTTAAACACTCTTGTCTGATGCCCTCCGGCCCTTGGAGCCCGTCAGTATTAGTCTCCTTATCCCCCACTGTTCAATATCACCCAAACCCTTGTCCAAACCCTTACTCCCCCTCCCCATCCGCTTTTGCGTTGTTACTACTGTCCTCTTGCTATCTACCCTTAACCCCTCTATTCGTTCATTTTCTCCAGGCCCCATGGCAGTAGATCTGATTGCCTTTCTTCTAACTCCGTGGTGACTCGATGTTCGCTCGCCGTTATTCTCTGCTCATGTCCATTTTTTATTTTTATTTTTTTTTATTTTTTTTTATTTTTTTTAACAACTCGATCGGTGCTAGGGGTGCTGATAAGAGCAGGCATCGCTAGCACCGTCGGGAAGGCTCCATCTATTGGTGGGCACACCTGCTGAAAATTGGGTCCAGCGTCCCTGTGGAGTACAATGTAAGAAATGAAGCTATGAAACGAAAGCAATGCAATTATGAGTTGTCAGTATGATTGAGGGGCCTGGTGACAACGGGCCCATCCCTCCTTTGGTTCTGTTCTAAATGTAGACTTCAGCGAGCTGTCGCTCATAGTGTTATTATTATGACCCAGTATTGTTATTGTAACCTGTTAACAACAAATACTATCCATTACTATTTATGTACTCGATCCCATATTCTGATGTGTCTATACCTGTATATGTTCTATAGGGTGTTGACACATGCTGTGTATAGGTGGTGGTGTTGTCACATGTGTTTCATGTTCCGTGTCACAAAGTGCTGTGTATAATGTGTTTGATGTGGTTAAGTGTTCCTGAGTGTGTTCCTATGATACATGCATGTGTATTTGTTAGTCCATCTGTCAGTGGGCTAATTCTAACCAACCCAATTATGCTACCGATACGCCCAAGTGTTGCAGCAGGTCTTCTATATCTTCAACCCTTAAACCCTTAAACCCTTAAACCCTTGAGTCCTGAAGACTGTCATCCCACCTGTTGCCTGCTGCTATCTGGTCTGCATTATGATGGGGTGCTGTAACAATTTGAGATTTAGCTGTGTGGCTCTGTCGTGGCTCCACCTTGTTGCCTCCGTCTCAAAACCCGTCTGAACCTTCCCTCCCAGTCTCCCAGTAGTACCCAAGTGCCCTGCGACTGCAGAGGGTATAGCCCTGGTCCTCCTGCTCCATGCCCCTTCCCTACGCTGCCTATGATTCCTTTTGCCGTTCTTCCATCGATGGGGTCGTATTTGATGCGTGATTGGTCTTGAGAGGGAGGGAGTCCTTGCTTGGCCGGCAATCAGCATCAGGGTGGAAGGGGGGAAGGGGGAGGGTGGTAGAGTGGTAGAAGAAAAAGGGAGGGGCGGGAGGGGCGGGGGGGGAATGGGGCGTGCGCAAAGGAAGGGCAGGGTCGAGCAGGACGTTCACGGGGTCGTAGGATCCGAAAGTGCAGACCGCTAATTTCTAACAAGGATGAAGTTTGTCGGTTGGAAAGAGATATCAAAGTGGTTTCATGGCAATCGTTCCCATCGGGATTCCGTTAATAGCCACTGTTTCCATCGTAGATGGTTGTCCGGGTCCAGTTCACAGAGTCTCTATTCGTTATCCACCCATAACGTGCGGAAGTTGTGTGAGAGGTCATTACGTTTGACTGCATCTGGTTCGTTTGCTAGCATGTTTCGAAGCTCTTGCCAGGCTGCATGGGTACTGACCGTTATTGTTTCCGCAATTGATGCTCGTGCTTCCATAAACCCGAACGTATGATGTTTGCGCTCATGTGCACACCTACTTCGCCATGCTGCAATAAGCATTGGTTGGCGTGTGATGGTGAACAGGTTGGACATATAGGGCGTCCAATGGGCCATTTGTGGAGTCTTTTCCCCCAACAGGATTACTTTGATATCCCATGGAAT